CCGCCGCAGCGGGCCACGGCTTCCGGAGGGTGACGCTCACCAAGCCCAGCTTCTGCCACCTCTGCTCCGACTTCATCTGGGGGCTGGCCGGCTTCCTGTGCGACGGTGAGCGCCCGACCCCCACCCGGTGCTTCCTCGCCCGGCACGCGGTCCCCATTCCCGGGCAGAGCCTGCAGAGCCCAGAGCCCCGTGCAGGTGACACCAGGAGGGTGTCCCGGCCCTGCCCTCGGACCTGCCCTGCCGGTGTGGTCGGGCCTGTGTGTGAACCGGGACCTGCCTCTGCGGGCTGTGGGGTCTCAAGGCTTCCTTGCCGGCATGCGGGGCCGTGTGGCCATGGTGCATGACTGAGGTTGGGATCCGGGGCCGTGGGGAGCCGCGTGGCGTGGTGAGCAGTTGCGGTGACTGGGGTGAAGCCGGGGCCCCTGAGGCCAGCAGGGTCCCCATGGCCGGCGTCCTCTCCCAGCGGCTGGAGCAGCAGTTATGGCCGAGCGAGGCTGCTATCCTGAGCTCCTGTGCTTGTCCTGGTCGCTCTCATCCATTGCTCAGGTTGGGCCCTGCTGTCCCAGTGCCTTGTGCCCCAACGCGGCTCCACCCTGCTGCCAAGCCATCGGGCTGGGGCACCACGGCCCTCCCTCTCCTGGCCCCAGTGTGTCCAGAGTTGATCCTCATCCTTCTCTCTCCTACAGGCAGGTGGGCCCTGGGGACCACAGCCAGCCTCTGTGGGGAAGAGAGTGTTAGTGTGGGGCGCTCGGACGCTGGACACCTACTGTGTCCTGGCCAAGGTTGTGGTGGTGGGAGGGGCTCTGGGGCGGAGGGACGCCTCAGGCCAGGACCTGTGAAGGAGGCCTGCCCTCAGCGGTGGAAATGGCATGGTTGTTCTGACTCCAGGGCTGCACGAAGTTGCCTGACCAGCCAGCGTGGGTGGGGGGGCACCCTGGCTTCTCCGTCAGATCAGAAACACTGCACTGTCCTGCCTGCTCCCCAGAAACGCCAGGGTGTTCCACTAAGAGGATGTGTGTGTGCAAGCTGAGTCAGCTCCAGGTCTGAGGCTAGACCCTTGGATTCCACACACGGGTGCAAGGTATAGAAGGCAGAACTCTGGGTCTGAGGCAAGACCCCTGGGGACCTCCTGTGGAGGTGAAAAATATAGAAGGCAGAACTCTGAGTCTGAGGCTAGACTCTGGGTCCCGGTCACAGGTACGTCCACCTGCAGGTGGGGCTCCAGGTTGAGGGAGCTCAGGAACCCTCCACATAGTCCTGGGGCAAAGCTCTTGTTGAAAGGGGCTGGCATGGTGTTTGGGGGACAGTGCAGGGTCCCTCCCAGGCAGCACCCATGGAAAAGGGGCTGGGATTTCAGCTAACAGAGGGTCTGGCAGGGATGTGGAAAGAAGAACCGCCTCCCGTCAGGGAGTCCCAGGGTGGGGTGAGCAGGTCTGTCTCTCGGCCAAGGAGGGAGCTGGGAGTTGGGCACCTGCCGGCAGCTGCTGCCTTCCACGCAGAGCTCCAGGTTGCCCTTCCTCGTCCCCCCAGTTCTATCACCAGACCCCATCCTCCTTCTAAGTTTTCTCTTAAGCAGCCCATGAGGAACTTCTACCCATCCTCTTCTTGGGACTGGGGTGTCTGGGGCTGCAGCAGGTAGGGGCACCGTGTGGCAATACCAGCACGGCCTTCTGGGAAAGCTGCCCTGAGGCTCATGGGCACAGACTTCTGCCAGGCTGTCTTGGTAGGAGTGTTCCTCCATCCCTGCCCACTCCTAGCCCCTACTATTCCATGGGGCCCAGTCCCCCCTTCCCTCACTCCTGTCCCGGCCTGCACTTTTTCTTGTGGCCTCGCCACCCTCCCGTGTGTGTCACTATTGAGCCTTTGTTTGAGGCTGAGGCACGCCACCTGCTGCTCTCAGGCCCTCCCCAGCACCCAGTGCACTGCACATGGCAGGGCAGTTAGGAGTACATGCAGCTTGGGGGAGTGAGGGAAGGGTGCCCCTGGCCAGGCTGACCAGGAGGATGTATGGAGGTGCTGCAGCTCAAGAAGTCCCTGTCCACCAGGAAGGCTGTGAGCCCCAGGACTGTCTTGGGTGAAGCCCAGCTGCAGAAAGGAGGAGGCGTGGGGATGCGAGACCACAGTGCCTGTGGTGCTGCCTACTGGGGAGGGCGGGTATGTGGGGCCTGGCTGCCTCCTTCCTGGGTGGGTCATGCCATCAGGGACAGGCCACCTCATGTGGCTCTCGTTCCCACAGTCTGTAACTTCATGTCCCACGAGAAGTGCCTGAAGCATGTGAGGACCCCGTGCACACGTGTTGCGCCCAGCCTGGTCCGGGTGAGTGCAGGGTGAGCTGCCACCCCTATTGGAGGTGGGGCACAGGTCGGCTCTTGTGGGGTCGGGTGCTGGGACCCGGCTGTCCTTCCAACATCAGACTCCAGTTACTCCTGTGATTGAAAAGCAAAGGTCAGCCACTGCACAGGATTCAAAGGAAGGAGCCTCAGGCACTAAGCATCCCGGGTGGGCCCACAGGGAACTGTGCTGAGAAGAGCCAATCCCAAAGGTCACATCCTGTGTGAGCCTGTCCACAGAACATTCTAGAGATGATGACACTAGAGGGAGCACAGAGGAGAGGCTTCCAGGACTTAAGGAAGTTGGTGTGACTATGGCAGGGTGGAGGGTCCTGATGGGGTTGGCTGGTTTGCATCTGAACTGCCTCAGTGTCAGCATCCCGGCTGTGATGTGACTAGTTTTGCGAGATGTCACCACCATTAGGGGAAGTGGGACAGAGGGCTCCAAGGGTCTCTATCACTTCTCACAATTGCCCGTGAGCCTTCAGGTATTTCAAAGAAGTTTAAGTAAAAACTGAAGGCAGGAAGCCTTGGAGCTAGGGAGGTCTTGGCCCCCAGCCTTCCTCTGCAGGGCTCCAGGTAGGACAGGGAAGGGACGGCCCAGGTCCCTGCAGGGTACAGGGGACTCCCCTTCTCTGGTGACAGTAGTGATGTTTAGGGAGGGCTGTTCTGTGCTCATTCCTCCCTCAACCGGCAGCTGTGTCCTCTGCAGAGTGGCGCACCCCACCCTCATTCTGTGATGCTTTCAGGCTGTGGGTGCCGCAGCCTATGTGGTGGTCTGTGCAAGCAGCCTAGGGGAAGCCAGGCCAGCAGACTGACCTGCTGCTGATTGGGTTTCTGGCTGTGCTGTTCCTTCTAATGTCTGATGCTGTGTTTGGAATATCTCAGTTACTGGACTGAGAACAGGAGGACGGGAGGACACTGACTTCTGGTGGTGTCAGCACTCTAGGGATGCCACATCAGCCTGGGTGGTCCCTCCTCACGTTGACATCCTGAGGCTCCAACTTTCTAAAGCTGATTTTAGGGGTCAGGTGCAGTGGCACGAACCTGTAGTCCTAGCTACTTGGGAGGCTGAGGCAGGAGGATAACTTAAACCCAGGAGATTGAGGCTGCAGTGAACTATGGGTGAGTGCACCACTGCACTCTAGCCTGGATGACAAAGCAAGATCCTCTCTCTAAAACTCTTTAAAAAAAAAGTAAAGTTTATTTTAATGTTTTATTTTATACTTTACTAAATTAAAAAAATACAAGTATATATTTCAAATATATGTATGATGAAAAATGTAGAGGATATTTAACAAAGAAAATACAAATTTTCTTTAACAAAGAAAATTTAACAAAGAAAATACAAATTGCCCATCCTGCTGGCAGTTACTGTTCTGGTATATGATCTTTCTGCTTTTATTGTGTGCGTTTTAACTTAAGTTTTGGGATAAGGACAAGAGTCGAGAGTGAAGACTTGACTTCTCTTCTGTCCCTTCTCATGGAAGAGCGCCACCCCGACACAAAGACACTTGTTTGTACTCAAGGCCTGGTCCCCTCCCAAAGGGTGGCTGGGGGTCCTTGGATGATGAAGGAGGGGAGGCCTGGCAGCTGGCACAACTCACCAGGCTAGGGGGAGGCAGGGCTGTCAGGGAGGTCGCAGAGCCTTCTCCTGCTTTCCGTTGGCCTGGCTGCCTCCAGACCCAGGTCAGGCAGGCAGTCCCCAGTGGGGCCTGAGCTGCAGAGCCATGGAGGAAGAGAGGGAGGAGTGTGACAGTGAGGCTGCCCCTGTCCCGCCAGGTCCCCGTGGCACACTGCTTCGGCCCCCGTGGCCTCTACAAGCGCAAGTTCTGTGGGGTCTGCCGCAAGCCCCTGGAGGCGCCTGCGCTACGCTGTCAAGGTAGCCAAGCCTGCGGCCTCGACTCCCGGTCCTGACTCTGCTGCCCCGGCCCGCCCCCCACGCGCAGATGATTGGGGTGATGGGGGAGGCTTCGAAGGCCAGCCAGGGGGTGCCCCGCAGGATACAGGACCGTTAAGGAAAGTGGGTGTGGGCTGGCGGAGATGGGGCCAGACCCAGACCCAGCAGAGAGGCGGGGGACATAGGGGGCTGCGCCCGAGGCCCCTAACCCTGCCCGCCCCCCAGTGTGTGAGCTGCACCTTCACCCCGACTGTGTGCCCTTCGCCTGCAGCGACTGCCGCCAGTGCCACCGGGATGACCACCAGGACCATGTGAGTGCACAGGTGCAGGGCGGGAGGGGGGTGGGCTGGGCTGCTGCTGACCACCCCCCTCCCCAGGACACACAGCACCACCACTGGCGGGAGGGGAACCTCCCCTCCGGAGCGCGCTGCGAGGTCTGCAGGAAGACGTGCGGTTCCTCTGACGTGCTGGCTGGCGTTCGCTGCGAGTGGTGTGGCACCCAGGTGGGCGCTGGCCAAGGGATGGAGGCCAGAGGAGGCCGGGCAAGAGACGCACCGGCAGGAGGCAGGGCGAGGGTGGAGGGGCGGGGCAGGGGAGGCACACCCCCAGCGGCTGGGAGGGCCCCGGGTTACGCCCACCCGGGGGGTGAGTTCTTTCTTCCCCTGAACCATCTGTTTTCCGGGCGGGGTCTCTGTGCACTCAGGCCGAGGGTGGTGGCGGCCCTGGCCCGGCTCATGCCCGCATCCCTGTCCCATAGGCGCACTCCGTCTGCTCCGCAGCGCTGCCCCCCGAGTGCTCCTTTGGGCGTCTACGCTCCCTGCTGCTGCCCCCAGCGTGCCTGTGTCTGCTGCCTCACAACTTCAGCCAGAGGCACTGCTTTCGCATTGCCGAGGCCTCAGAACTGGGTGAGGAACTGTGAGGCGCCGGTGGCAGGGTGTCCTGGGGGGTGGGGAGCAGGGTTGGAGCTGAGTGAGGGTCCCTGTGCCCGTCCTGCAGGCGAGGGAGACCACGGCGGGGATGGGGGCGTCGCCCCAGGCCCAGGCCGAGAGATGCCACTGTCTCCAGAGTCCAGTGAGTATGTGGGGTGCAGCCCTCCGCCCCATCGGTGCACCCCACCCTAACCCGAGTCACAGCCTCTCCCTTAACCTGCTTCCCCCAAAGCTGCCGTCCCACTGCTGCCCCATTCCAGTCACAGCTCTCCCCCCCCCAGGCAAGCAGACCCTGAAGGTCTTTGATGGAGACGATGCTGTGAGGAGAAACCAGTTCCGTCTTGTCACTGTCCCTCGCCTGGCCAGGAGCGAGGAGGTGCTGGTAGGAAGAGCCCTGGGAGCGGTGTGCACGGGGGTTGGTGTCCAGTGGCCCGTGCCCCATACCTGCCACCCTCTGCAGGAGGCAGCACTACGGGCCTACTACATCAGCGAGGACCCCCGAGACCTGGAGCTGCAGCAGCTACCCCTGCCCTCGCAGGCTGGCGACCCCCAGGCTGGGGGCAAGGCTGGGAGTGCCAGTGTCCCGGAGGAGAGCAGGGGCCTGGGGGCCTGCGAGGTCACACCAGAGGCCTGGGTCATCCGGGCGCTGCCGCATGCCCAGGAGGTCCTGAGGATCTACCCTGGCTGGCTCAAGTAAGATGGGACAAGGTGCGGGGTCTGCAGGCAGGAGTAGGGGGGGTCTCTGGCCTGAGCCCCGCTGTCCCCACAGGGTAGGCGTGGCCTATGTGTCGGTGTGTGTGACCCTAGAGAGCACAGCTCGCTCAGTGATGCTGGAGGTTCTGCCGCTGTTTGGACGCCAGGTGTGTGCCCTGGGCCACCCCATCTCGCCAGTCTCGGGTCATTGTCCCCAGGGACCCAGGTTACAGGCTCAGCCCCGGTGGGGCTGCCCTTGTGGGTGTCCTGGAGGGGTGGGGACCTGCCTGGGCCTGATGTCCCCTTTGCCCCACAGGCCGAGGGTCCCGAGAGCTTCCAGCTGATTGAGGTGTTCATGGGCAGCAGGCAGGGTGAGTGGGTGGCCTGCAGTCAATGCCCTTCTGCTTGTCACATCCAGGCCCTGTCCTTCCGACCAGCCCCACCCCGTGTTCCCACGTTCCCTGGGGTCTCAGGGCAGCTGCTTCCAAGGTGGGTACAGAGCCTGGTACTGACGGCGGTGCCCTCCCCCTGATATTCCCCTTTCCCTGCAGTCCAGCGGATGGTGCTGGTGGACGAAGAGCCCTTGCTTGGCCGGCTTCAGAACATGCGGCAGGTCAGTGCATGTGGCTGCCAGCCCCCAGGAGCCTCCAGCCCTCAGTCTCACCTCCAACCCGCAGAGGGGCATCCTTCCCAGCCAGGCAGCTGAGTGTCCTGCCAGCAGTGCCGTCTGTAACACGTCACCTCAGTTCTCTGAGGAGGGAGGATAGGGCTGATCTCAAGGGAGAAAGCCGCTGTGGTCTTCTTTCCTCTTTTTGGTCATCCTCCCTCAGCTGGACCCCAGAGAATGTCCTAATTCCCCATTCTGTCCCACTCCCCGCAGACGTCTGTGCGACAGGTGAGCCAGATGCGGTTCTACGTGGTGGAGAGCAGGGCTGTGGCCCCCCACGTCTCCCTGTTCGTTGGTGGCCTTCCTCCTGGCCTGTCCTCCCAGGAGTACGACATCCTGCTACATGAGGCCATGGCCACCAAAGGTGTGATGGCTGTGGCTGGCCCAGGGCCGCTAGCTGGGAGTGGGGTCCCAACAGGGTGGGGACTGTGGGGCCTGGAGACTGCTCCTGCCTCCCGTGCTCTATGCAGGCCCGTTCTCCTTTGCACCCAAAGGAACTCTGTTCTCGCTGCAGACCCAGGCCATGAGATTCCCCAGGTGTCCGTGGCTGCTCTGCCCCTGAACCTTGACGTTTGATCCCTGACTCCAGCCCGTGTCACCTCCCCCAAGGAGCTTTGAGCCTCCCACTTGCCTTGGCCATTCCCCATGGCGCCTGGCCACTGCCTCCCCCTCTGGGGTCCTGCTCCGGGGGGGAACATTTCCTGCGGGAGCTGCCCTTGGGGGTGTGAAGTCAGCCCCAGGGGTGGGGGTCAGGCCCAGGCCTTGGGCCGTGTATCCTTTGTCACCTGCCACCCTGACTGGAGTCTGCCTTTGCAGCTGCCGTGGTGTCCGTGAGTCACGTCTATTCCTCCCAAGGTGAGCTGCCTGGCAGACGTGGTCATGCGGGCCCATGGGTGTCCTAGACCTCATGGGAGAGCCTGACCCTCGCCCAGCACCTGGTCTTTCCTGGGGAGGTGTGGGCTGGGGAAATGCCCTGGTTTTGTTCCTGCCCTGGCTTGTGGGGGAATGGGACAGGCTCCCCTTAGTCCGGCCCCTGCCACAGGCGCAGTGGTGTTGGACATCACCTGCTTCGCGGAGGCTGAGAGGTTGTACATGCTGGCCAGGGACACAGCGGTGCAGGGCCGGCCACTCACCGCTCTGGTGCTTCCGGACCTGCTGGTAAGTGGGCAGCCAAGGCTGGTTTTTCAAACCCTGGGGGGTGGTCAGGGGTCCAGGTCTGCAGTTGTGCGGTCCCCATGGTGGGGCACACTCTTCGTCTAGTGTCTCTTCCCTATGTTCACTGGGGCCAGTGAGTGTTGCCTTGTTCCTGCTTCATGGGAGTTGGGAAAGACGTCGTTGCCCCTCTGGCTCCATGGAGCCCAAGGTCAGAGGGCAGCGCTCGTCCGAGACTGTCGAGCAGGTGAGACCTGCTCCATGGGGCACCATGAGGCTGGGACGGCCATCCGCCTGGATCCAAGGTCTTCATTAGCGGGAGGGGTGTAGGATGCAGGTCCCGACCTCACAGGACACATGGCTCCTGCCGCGGCTGCCCCACCAGGGGCACTGTGACTAAGTGTCAGTGGCCACCCCTGGCCCTCAGGCACAGCGCTGGTCTTACTTTCCTGCCGGGAGGCCTTGAGACCCCAGCTCCCGCCTGGAGCTGTCCCCCAGCAGTGGGTGGAGCGCCCTGACTTCCAGCCTCACCCTTGAGACCTGGCAATTCCCCGAAGAGGGGACACCCAGCAGCATGGAGGGTGAGGGGTCACAGCCCAGGGCTCGGTGGGTCAGGGCTGCTCGAGGGGCCAGAGCTTGGGACCTCGCCCTGGCTTTCACAGCAGCCTCTTCGGTCATCAGCCTTTCTGGCCTCCAAAAAGTTCTGTGAGATCCCCACCCTCAGGTGTCCATGGCTGCTCTGCCCCTGAATCCCAGCCTTTGACCCCTGACCCCAGTCCAGGCAAAGTAGAATTAGAACAGGGTGAGTCTGGCGGCCTGTGGCTGGGGTAGGCAATGCCTGTGGGTCTCTCCGTCTCCTCCCCACTTGGCCCTGCCTTAGTCAGGACAGCCTGTCGGCCCTGGCCCCACTCGCTCCGTGGGCAGAGCTGGCATGGGGCCGACGTGCGCTTTCTTTCTTCTGTCAGCTGCCTGCCCTGGGGTGAGTGGGTAAGTGGTGACTATGGGTGACTCTGCCTGCCAAGCAGGTCACGCACCCCGAGTGTGTCCTTGCCCTGAGCCTTGGCCAGCCTGTGTGCTGCCGCCCACCCCATGTCTGCACCTGGCCTGTCTCCTGATCCCACCCCACTGTAGGGGCCCTGCTCTCTGTCATAGGGACCCCTGCCCAGCCCGCTCTGTCTAGATTCCTGGGCAGTTTCCTGGGCTTATGTGTGGGGGATTGGTGCTGTCCTGTAGCCGAGGGGAGCTGTGGCCACCCTGCTTGTCCCACAGCTTCTTGGCAGGCAGGGGCCTGAGAGCCACTGTCCTCCAAAGGTATGCCCTAGGGCTCCTGCGTGGCAGGCCTGGGTCCTGTTGGCTGGCGATCCAGGTGAGGTCCCACTGGGTGGCCAGCGTGGGCCTGGGGACTGAGTGGGTCATGGGTGTGGTCTGTCCACACCTGGCTTGGCGGGTAGGGTCATGGCCTTTGTGCTGGAGCACCAGTCAGCTGTCCTTGGTGCTCCCCATGGGCTGGCAGTAAGGCAGGGATGACCCTGCAGCCCCTGGGTAAGGCGAAGGGCATGGCCGTGCCTTCCTGGGGGGCAGGCCTCAGTCTGGGCGGGCTCAGAGTCAGAGGCCTGTTGGGGAATGCCCAACCTTGGTCCTCACCCTAACCTGGCCCCCCACCTCTCAGCACTGGAAGCTGCCCCTGGATAGCCGCCCCCTCCTTGTGTTTGTGAACCCCAAGAGTGGGGGCCTCAAGGGCCGAGACCTGCTCTGCAGCTTCCGGAAGTTGCTGAACCCCCACCAGGTCTTTGAGCTGACCCACGGGGGACCTCTTCCCGGGTGAGCTGTTGCCTGCTGCCCTGCACTGCAGCAGCCTGGGCAGGGGGCCTGGGGGCTTGGGGCAGCTGCACAGGCCATGGGGGGGGACTCCCTGCACCACCGTTGGGCCCATGGGAGTTCCACAGGAGTCCTCGTCGTGACCTCCATGTAGCTGCATCGAGCATTTTCAAAGGAGGGGCGGGGTGGGCTGAGGCGAGTTCGGCCCTGGGAGGCCTGGGCATCCTGTAGTCTGCTCCGATGCCCTGTGCTCTGCATGGTGGCTGGTGGCGGGACACTTCCTGTCTCCCACTGCTAGGTTCCACCTGTTCTCCCAGGTGCCCTGCTTCCGGGTACTGGTGTGCGGTGGGGACGGCACCGTGGGCTGGGTGCTCGGGGCCCTGGAGGAGACGCGGCACCGTCTGGCCTGCCAGGAACCTTCTGTGGCCATCCTGCCCCTGGGCACAGGTAAGTCAGCCAGGGAGCAGGAGGACGGGGCCCCAGGGATACTTCCTGCCCCAAGTTTCACTCGAGGCCTGAGGTGGCATCCTTGTCCATGGTGAGGATGCCCCTGTCCCTTGGCGCGGTTGCCTTTGTTTGTGGTAGGGGTATTCCTGTCTGTGTGGGGGGGTGGGTTCCCATGGTGGGGGTCTATGTACCCACTCACGTTGGATGGGTGTGAAGAGTTGCTCTCACTTGCATCCTAGGGAATGACCTTGGCCGTGTCCTCCGCTGGGGGGCGGGCTACAGTGGCGAGGACCCCCTCTCGGTGCTGGTGTCTGTGGATGAGGCAGATGCAGTGCTCATGGACCGCTGGACCATCCTGCTGGATGCTGAGGCTGGCAGTACTGAGAACAGCGAGGCTGATGCAGAGCCCCCCAAGGTACCAGGGAGGGGTGGGGGTGGCACGTGTCAGGCCCCTGCCTCATGAGCCAGTTTCCTCCCAGCCACACTCTGGTTGGTGCTGGCACCATCCTCTGTGCAAAGGAGGTAGCCGAGGAGGCACAGGGCGGTGACTCACTGGGGATCGTGTCTGGGCTGGCTCCAGCCCTGCTGGCACTCACGGTGCACCCACTTCCCTGGGGTGTGGGGTCTTTGAGCGGCCGCCCCCAAGGAAGCAGCGCAGGCAGGCCAGAGTCGAGAAATGGGGCAGGAGGCAGGGAGGCTGGGGCTGCCTGGGAGGGGCTCAGGAGCACCTGGGAGGGCTCTGGGTCCTGGGAGATCCACACGTCCCCAGATCGTGCAGATGAGCAACTACTGTGGCATCGGCATTGATGCGGAGCTGAGCCTGGACTTCCACCAGGCACGGGAGGAGGAGCCTGGCAAATTCACAAGCAGGTACTGGAGGAGTGGGCCAAGTCCAGGCGGTTATGGGTGGCAGGGGCCGCCTCGGTGATGGCCACGCCCCCTCGTGCAGGTTCCACAACAAGGGTGTGTACGTGCGTGTGGGGCTGCAGAAGATCAGCCAGGCCCGCAGCCTGCACAGGGAGATCCGGCTGCAGGTGGAGCAGCGGGAGGTGGAGCTGCCCAGCCTGGAGGGCCTCATCTTCATCAACATTCCCAGGTGGGGTGGGGTGGGGCTTGGTGGCCTCTAGCCCGAGGTGGGGCCGAGCCCGATGAGCCTGTGCCCACACCCGTGTCCCCCCACCTGGCGCAGCTGGGGCTCGGGGGCCGACCTGTGGGGCTCCGACAGCGACGCAAGGTTTGAGAAGCCACGCATGGACGACGGGCTGCTGGAGGTGGTGGGCGTGACAGGTGTCGTGCACATGGTGAGAGAGTGGCCGGGCGGGCAGGGTGGCACCTCTGCCCGTGGGCCCCGCTGAGCCCAGCTCTCCTCACCGCAGGGCCAGGTCCAGGGTGGGCTGCGCTCTGGGATCCGTATCGCCCAGGGCTCCTACTTCCGCGTCACGCTCCTCAAGGCCACCCCGGTACAGGTGGATGGGGAGCCCTGGGTCCAGGCCCCCGGGCACATGATCATCTCAGCTGCTGGCCCTAAGGTATATTGGGAAGCCCGAGTGAGGGGTATGGCCAGGGGGTCCTCCCAACTCCAGGTCAGGCCCTTGAGAGGCTCCCCGTCTTTTGGTGCAGTCTTTGGGCCTCAGGAGGATATGGGCTGAGGGCGGTGCCTGGCAGTCAGGTTGCAGGGGTGCAATGGCCCGCCAGTCAGGCCCTTCCCCTTCTGTTAGCTGGACAGATATAGCCTCAGCCGCCTGGGTTCTGGGATGGGGGTTGGTGGTGCACTGTCTGTCACCTGCCCCCGCTGCCGTGTCCCCTTGGCCTGACCTGCCAACCTCCGGACAGGTCCACATGCTGAGGAAGGCCAAGCAGAAGCCCAGGAAGGCCGTGACCAGCAGGGATGCCCGGGTGGATGCCGCACCTGCCCCTGAGGGTGACCCCAAGTAGTGGTGGCTGAGGGATATGGACGGTCTGCACTCCCGGCAGTCAGTCCTGGGCTAGTCCAGGTGCAGCTCTGTCCTGAGTCCTCACGGAGGCTGGCTCTGTGGACAGACTTCATAACAGTGCTGCCTACAGTGTCCTCCTGGGGACCAGGACATTTCTTACCCTCATTCCCATTTGGCATCACATGGGCATGGCTGGGCAGGTGGGTGAGTGGCAGCTGTGTCCCACTACCTGGGTGGGTGTGCTCAGGCTCTGGCTGGCCAGCCCCATATCTGGTGTGTCCATCACAAGATGCTTCAGAAGGGGAGGTGGGACCCAGCCCCCTCCTGGAGGGGATCCCCTGGCTCTGTGCCCCTCAACCCCCGAGCTGGGCCACACTGGCTGTAGCCTGTCCGGGTGGATCTGACCTTGTTTTGTGCCCCTTGGGCCATCCCCTGATGGTCCTTCCAAGCAGTGGCTCCGAGGGGCTCTGGTGTGTCTCTGGCCCAGCAGATGGGATGCTGCTAGTTTTTCCCACTCACTTCCCCTCCTTGGGTGGGCAAAGTGTGGGGTGACTTGTCTTTTTTGGGGATGGTGCCTCACCTTGCTTTCTGACCTTGTCACTACAGGTAGCAGTTGGGGCCTCAAGTCAGCTGCAGGGCAGGCAGTGCCTGCTGGGCCTGGGCACCCTTTCCTGGAAGGGGGGAGGGGAATCTCCATGACTCTTGAGGCTGGGAGCGTTTGGAGTGTGGGCCAGACCCTGTGTCCCACCTTTCGTCCTTGGGGTGAGGCATCGAGCACCAGAAATGCCAAGATGCCACACCTGGATGTGTAAATAACTCCTGACGCATGTGGGGGGAGCCAGCTTTAATCCTGATTCCACGTCAGCACTTTACATGCCATTTGCCAACAGTGTGTCCCCAGTGTCTGCTTGGTCCTCCACATCAGTGCATGGAGACCCCCTCCCACAGCCCCTGTACCCCCATGTTGTACTGCCAGCTGGGCCACACGTGGGGTGACCACCCAGGAGGGACATGAAGCTGTGCTGTTTCCACATGTGCATGGATGCAGACCTCAGGAGGAGTGTGACCAAAAATGGAGCCACCAGGGTGGGAAGTCTCCTGACCCAATGAAATGGTCCTGCAGCCCAGAGGCTCCTGAGTCCTCATGGGTGTGGCTGGCCCAGCCTTCTTGCTCTGGGCAGGGCTTTTCCCGGTTTGGCCTCAACCTTGGAAGTAGCTCTGGTTTGGCCCCAAGTGTGTGGCCCAGCTGGTCTGCAGCCTCCCAGGGGGCTTTGGTGCCATTAAGACACCTCCCCCTGCTTCTGCCAAAACTGCACAGACAAATGCATTGTAATGGCCATAGTGACCTCCAGTGTGCACGTGCCTTGTGTTTATGTTGTTCATGGTCTCCAGAACGAGTTCTCAATGTTGTCCACTTCTGCTCTGCATCCTCAGCATCGTCTCTGATCTGTAGCTGTCTAAATTGTTAGGTGACTTGTCTTCCTGTACCTACATGGGTCTGTCTGCCCAGATGGGGTCTGTCCCTGCACACTGATCCCCCATGTATAATTTATCGCTACCTGAATGTAACAGTAATTTATATCTGGGACAAATACAGTCTGGGCATCACTGTCCTGCTGTCTCTCCCTCGTTGCTATGTCAAACAACTGGTGTGTGGGGAGGGAGCGGATCGTCTAGCAGCCCCCAATGGCAGCTCTGGGGAGGGTTCTGGGAAGGGCAGTCCCTAGAGTGGGGTGGGCTGGCCTGGCGGTATGTATGGGGTGGGGGAGAATGGACGGGTCAATACAATAAAACACATTCCTGGGCCAAGTGCGGTGGCTCACACCTATACTCCCAGCACTTTGGGGGGCCGAGGTAAGAGGATTGCTTGAGCCCATGGGTTTGAGACCAACCTAGGCAACTTGACGAGACCTCATCTCTACAATAAGACAAAAAATTAGCCGGGCATGGTGGTGCATGCCTGTGGTTCCAGCTCCTTGGAAGGCTGAGGCAGAAGGATCACCTGAGCCCAGCAGGTCAAGGCTGCAGTGGCAATGAGCGTGCCACTGCACTCCAGCCTGGGTGACAAAGTGAGACTCCAAATCAACGACAAAACAAAACAAAAACCCCATGTTCCTGGGGAACTCCATTCTGAAAAGGTAGAGAACATGAACAGTACATGGTGTTGCACAAAGAAAGTAAAACAAGGTCATCTGATAAGCTGCTGCTGGCCTGGCCTTGACTCGGCATCTATTTCTTCCTTCCTTGCAGGTCTCAGGAGTGGGTTGCATGGCCAAGTGTAGGGATCCCACCTAGCAGGGGGCAGAGAGGAGCCCTGACTGCATGTCAGGCTCGCCCGTGGGGCCTGGTGCAGGGGGCACAGGCCAGGCTAGGCCCTGCAGACCCCGCAGCACAGCCAGGGCAAGGCGCAGGAGCAGGCGCAGCAGCAGGAAGGCAAAGGGTGTGGCCACCTGCATGGCATGGAAGATGGCTGTGCTGAAGCCACCAAGCAGGCAGGTGGCCACAAAGGCCACCAGGCTGGCGCACGGGTACAAGGCCAGCTTGGCGAACATGAGCGCGTGCTCTGCACCGCCAAAGCGCACAGCTGGCTGCAGTGTGTCCACTGGCTGCAGCAGTGCTGAGGTCCAGACAGCGAACTGGAAGATGCTGGCAAGGAAGATGATAGCGCAGCTGACGCGCACTCGCTCCAGCTCGTCGTGGGGCTGCCGCGCGAAAGCCGAGGTCTGCTGATAGGCCAGCGGAAGGCCGCCCACGAAGGCCAGAGCCAGTGTGTTGAGCAGCCCCATGGCCCGCGTGGCCTTGCGGACGTGTAGGAAGAGCGAGTGGTGGGCAAACCAGAGCAGGCCCACTGTGGCGAAGGAGCCAAAGTAGGCCAGAAAGCGTGGCCCAGATGCGCCCAGCGCCGCCACCAGGCTGCCGCCGAACCGCTCCGTCACGTCCTTGGGGTCCGGGACGTTGTCCTCACTAGAATCACGAACACATGCGTTCAGACTCACCTTGAGAAGCCACGCTGCCCCGTGGAGGGGATCACATGGGTCAGGGCCACCTGCCCACCGTGAAGGACAGATGAAAGGCATGGACTTCCTAGGGCCCTGGGCTCCAGAACACTCCACCTCTAACCCACGTGTCTTCACCTGAAACTGAGCGCCAACCTGCATCCCATGTGCTGGGCCTGCAGCCGTCCCAGCCAGGGTCTGCTCCACAGGGCAGGGGGCCCTGCTGTGGGGGCAGTGGGGCCATGTCCCAGCTTCCACACCCTCCAAGCTGCCTGCACAAAGCCCTGGGTGCTGCTGGTGCCTCCACAAGGGGAGTGGCCCCATCTGTGGAGGGTTTGCTCCCATAGTTTTCAGATATATGTGAAGGTCTCGGGAAGCTGTCTTCGGGGCCCTGCTCTCTAGGGAGCATCAGCCCGGTGCCTCTGGGCATCTCCCACAGCCACGGAGGAGGCCGTGTGACTACCCAGTCAGACTGCTACTACCTTCTGACAGTACGACCCAGAGAGTCAGACAGTATCCTCTTTCAACAACTGAACGTGGAGGACGGTGGTCCCTGAGGCAGCCCCAAACAGACAGCCATCCTCAGTGGACAGGGGAACTGCAGGGGAGGGAGGGGGCAAGAAACAGAGCGGGAGTCACACCAGGGATGAAACCCCAAGGCAGACTCTCAGCACCAGCAGGAGACCACAGGGAGGGTCTGGCTCTCCCCTTGGCCACGGCTCCGGATGGGGGAAAGACTACCGTCCTACCCTGGGCAGTGAGGGGGCCCCAGCTAGCATGGCCGGGCTGCAGGGGATGCAAAGGCAGATCAATCCAGATTGTTCTTTAAATCTAGGCTTTAGCAGTCAGGTATCAATGAGTATTTGCTTCTAATTTTTAAAGATTCACAAATTACAGTACAAAAAAGTTACCAAGAGAGTATCAGGATACTCAACTTGAGACTTCCGGGTATGCAATATAAAATCAGAGTGTTTTAACGTGTTTAACAAAGTAAGAGTGTGCAAAGACTTGACTGAGGAATAAAAAACTGATAAAAAGGATGGAAAATGTAAAAAGCACATTATAATGTGATGACCAAGATGAGAGCTTCAACAGAGTTTAAGGACAGTCTGGCTGAGCAGAGCAGAAGAGCATGTGTGATGTGAACAAACAGCCGTGATGTGGGGGTGAGACTAGGGCAGGGGTGAGAAGGCTCCAGGGCCCACCCTCAAGCACAGCTCTGGGAAGACCAGGAGACGACATGGCAGCTGGTGCCAGACTCTCTCCTGCCTATGCTTGGTGTGGGACCGCTGGGATGGGAGACCCCCTCTGGGAGCTCTGCCCTGCCTGGTGGGGCCAACCTGTCCTCACAGAGCTCTGGGTGCCCAGGGAGAGAGGAGCTGAGAAACCCCAGAACATTTCTGGAGTTTCCAGGACACAAACACACCTGCCACCTGACCCTAGGGCCCAGGGTCCTTACCAAATGTCCAGGATGAGAAGGGTGGCCACAATGGCGTAGACACCATCGCTGAAGGCTTCTACCCGCTCCTTGCTGAGTGGCTCATGCAGGTCGAAAGTAAAGAACTCCACTTGGTGAGCTGGGGGCTCTACGTGGCCTGTGGACATGCCAGGAGAGAGGAGCTGGCTACGCCCCTCCCATGTGGGGACTTAGGGCCAGGGTGGTCGTCACTACCCTCATCCTGCAGGGGATGGAATATGGAAAAGGTGCAAGGACACACTGAGGTGCCTGGGGGGCAGCCAGAGCTGGGGGCACTTGTGGATCCAGATGTGGACCAGCTGGGTGAGACCCATCCCCACCAAAAGTCCTCAGATGCAGCAGCCAAGAACTGGGTGGTACCTCCTGGTGGCCTCAGTGCTGAGCAGCCACACAGGAAGTGGGCAACCTTTTGGCCCCTCAGGCCATCCCACCAGTGTCACCTACCCACGAGCCTGTCTTTGCACCAGCCGACGGCCTTGCTGACGTAGGGGAGGAAGACGACCATTGCCATCAGCAGGTATGACTGCAGGGAGACAGATGACAGGTCAGTGTCTGCCTCCATGATGGGGCTGGAGCCACATGCACCACGGAGTCAGGCTCTTGCCAAGGGCCCCACCCTGAAACTGTCTGCTGTGAAGGGAGGGGTAGCACCATAGCCAAAGGAAAAACAGAATGGTGCTCATCAAGACACAGCTTCATGCCAGAGGGGAGAGTCTGCAGATCCTGAATCAGTAAGAGTTCAATATCCCAAATATGCAAAGAACTGTCATAACTCAGTAAGAAGGCAACCCAATTAAAAAATGGATAAGACAGGCTCGGTGGCTCAGCCTGTAATCCCGCGCCTTTGGAAGGCTAAGGTGAGTGGATTGCCTGAGCCCACGGGTTCATGACCCACCTGGGCAACTTGGCGAGACCTCATCTCTACAATAAATAAAAAATCAGCTGGGTGTGGTAGCGCACGCCTGTAGTTCCAGCTGCTCGGAAGGCTGAGGCGGAAGGATCGCCGGAGCCCAGCAGGCCGAGGCTGCGGTGGCCGGCAGTGGCCACTGCCCTCCAGTCTGGGCGACAGAGTGAAACTCCAACTCAAAAAGAAAAAAGAAAAAAAAAAAAACAAAGAAAAAATGGATAAAAGACTTGAACAGACATTACTCCAAAGAAAAGATGCAAATGACCAATGAACACACTGGAAGGCTCCTGCACATCTGTGAGCACAGCTAGGACTGAAAAGACAGAAGAATTATGGGTGGTGAAGACATGAAGACACCAGCACACTTGTGCACGGCTGGTGGAAATGTAAATGGTGTGGCTGCCATGGAAAACACTATGGAGCTTCCTCAAAATGCTGAACACGGAATCACCACATGACTAGCAATCCTAGGTATGTGCACAGAAGAACTGCAAACACACACTTAAGAGATGTGTACATGAATGCTCACAGCAGCATTATTCACAAGAGCCAAAAGGTAGGAACACTCCAAATTCTACCACCTGGTGAGTAGATACACACAGTGTGTGGTATCATCCAAATAGGCCAGCCTGTTTAGACAGCAGAAAGGAGTAAGTCTCTGATGCATATCACAGCATGGGTGAATCTTTTTTTTTTTTTCCTCTTGAGATGAAGTCTCACTCTGTCACCCAGGCTGAAGGGCAGTGCCATGCTCATGGCCACCGTAACCTCTACCTGTTGGGCTCAGATGATCCTTCTGCCTCAGCCTTCCAAGTAGCTGGTACCACAGGTACACACCTCCATGCCCTGCTAATTGTTTTTTTATTTATTGTAGAGATGAGGTCTTGCCAAGTTGCCCAGGCTGGTCTTGAACCTCTGGACTCAGGCAATCCTCTTGACTCCACCTCCCAAAGTACTGGGATTAAAGGCAAGAGCCACCACACCCAGCCAGGTGAATCTTAAAAACAATGTTAAAACTGTTTTAAAATCTTAAAAAACAGTGCTAGGAATCCAGACATAAAAGGACATACAGCGTGTGAAATTCCAGAACAGGCAAATCCACGGAGACAGCATGCATGCTGGTTCCCAGGAACAGAGGGACATACAGCGTGTGAAATTCCAGAACAGGCAAATCCACGGAGACAGCATGCATGCTGGTTCCCAGGAACAGAGGGAAAGGAAGATGGGGCATGACTGCTCCTGGGTGCTAGGTTTGTATTTGGGGCATTAAGCAAGTTCTAGAAGAGCCGTCACTGGGTGGGGCCAGCTGAGTGTGGGGAGGGCTGGACTGTCCACAGCCCCCACGGGAGCCAGAATCCTGTGGCTCCCTTAGCCCTTGCCCTGCACAGTCTCTCATCTGGGCCCACGAGCAGGTGCGGCTGCCCAGCCCAGGGCTGGCTGCCCATGGCCCTTCCTGCTGCCTGTATCCTCCACAAGGTGTTGCCACCATCAGCCTCAGTTCTACCTCATCAGAGATTCCTGCCACCCCAGGCACTTGAGACCTGGGCTGGCACCTTCTCTTGCCTGCCTCACCAGCCCCTACCTGCCAGGCTCAGCCCACCTGCCTCTGTCCCTGGACTTCCCACCCCATCTGAACCTGCCTCTTGGAGGCCACAGGTGAGGACACCCTGCCAGACCTCAGCAACCCTCCTGCCAGTGCACATGGGCAGCCCCCTCTTCAGCATATCCTCCCTCAAGATCAAGTGCATGGTGTGTCTTAGAACCGAGCCCACACACTACCTTTCCTCTCCACCTGCTGTCCTATACTCACTTACCTGTGCCCCGCCCGGGGTTAGCCTGCTCAGGACTCACGTGCAGGGCATGCAGGCCTTCCTGCCAACTGTTTTACCCTCAGGGTTTCTTTGAAATGTTTGCTAAATGTTTAAAATCATATCAACCATCCCCTTTTCCTTGTTTCTTAGGATGCTCTGGGCTTAAACATTCCATCTACTTCAACAGTGTGCACGCTGACCTGTAGACATAAATAAGGCCATGGCCAGCCCTGCCATCGCTACCTTTGAACATTCTCTGTGTTCTGGGTGAAGGAAGCGTGGCCAGTCTTATTCCTAGTAAAAGGGTATCAGCAGATGATGACTTCCGTGACCAGGCTGAGAGGGTCTTGTTGAGTCTCACCCTCCCTGGCTGAGCGCTGTAGGGACACCAAGCCCCCCGACCTGCACCCAGCAGTTTCCTGAGATCATGCATAGCCCCTCCCACCAGCAGCTGGGTTCTTCAACTCTGTTTTCTCTACTTCCTCAGTTTCCTCTCTGCGTTCCGGGACTTTCTCTTTACCTTCTCCCTCTCCCTGGTGTCTCACCATCTTTAGGCAACTACAGCTGATGTCCCCATGTTTTCCCAATGCTTGGGTTTATCAACAGAGGCTCCTCATCATTAAGGCAACGCTGCTTCGACCCCCTACCAAATGGCTGTGTGGGGTTCACCACCCTGACTGTTTTGTGCACAGCCCTGGACTCCCACATCTGTTTCTAACCATTGTCATTTTGAAGCTTTGCTAAAAAGGACACCTCAGACCCTCCTCAATGAGTACTGTGGCCTCCACAAAGCAGCAGCAACCAGCCCCCTCCCAATGTCCTGGACACTGGCTACTCTCTGCACCCCTCTGCCACACTGGGAGTGTGTGGCTCAGTGGGGATATCCCTCCCATGGTGTCTGTCCCTGCACCCCACCCTGGGGCTGTCCCTGCACCCCACCCATGGTGTCTGTCCCTGCACCCCACCCTGGGGCTGTCCCTGCACTCACCACGGGGATAAAGAACAGGGAGAAGATAGCCGCAGCGAGGCACAGGGCTGGGCCCTGCAGGACAAGGCACAGGATGTGCCGCCAGTACCTTGTCCCATGGGCTGAGCACCGGATCTGCGGGCTTAGCAGGTGTGGGAAGTGGAACGCATAGCCCACAATCAGCGCCTGCAGGGAGATAAGGGCAGGGCTGCGTGAGGGGCCTCGGGTGGGAACTCACATAGGGAGGCTCAGACCTTAGATGTTCTGGGGATGGAGAGGGGAATAGAGCCCCTGCCTACACCTGGGGTGGCAAGTGGGAGTCTCAGAGCCCACCATACCTCTCCCCAGTCAGAAAGCAGGGGTGATCTGGGTAGCCACATCGTGTGTGTGTGTGACTTGAGTGCCTCAGGATGTGGGCCCCAGGTCCACCCCCTCAATGGTGGTCATGCATACATGCACGAGCATGCACGAGCACGCGCGCACACACACACACACACACACACACACACACACACACACACACACACACACACACAAACAGGGGCCCTAGGCACCCACCTGCACGGCTCCGATGGCGATCACACACATGCAGAACAGGAAGATGCCCAGAGGCACGTCAGGGAAGGTCACCATTAAGGAAAACTGTCCAAAACATCCCCCCAGCAAATAACCACAAAAGGTAATTATGGCTCCAGGGCTTCCAGGGCCTGGAACTGGGGTACAGTGAGCCTCCCCTGTCAGCTGGACACTAGAAGCAGAGCCATCACAGGGTGGGGCCAGCTGAGTGTGGGGTAAGGTGGTCTGTCCACAGCACCCAATGTCATCAAATGCTTCATGTCGTTAAAGCCAAAATATCACCAAGAGTCCTCAGATCCCAGTGCTTGGTGATGCATAGCCCTGCATGCTCATACCGGTGGTCTCTGTCAGAATTCAGTATAAGTGCCTTTGTGGCCTGTGTGGTGCAGGAGGAAGAGGACAGAGGCCAGGCTGTGGGGCCCCTGTGCTGGGGCTAAGCCTGAGATGGGCAGGAGACTGTGGACTCAGGAGTAGGTGGGAGCTGGGGTGTTGGTGGCTCCCTCGTGGGGCCTCTGCCTCCCCTCCTCCATGCAGCCTGAGAGCCCCAGGTGGCCTCCAGTGCTTGCTCTCCCAGAATCTTCTCTCTCTGCACCCTGCAGCCTGGGCCCTGCACCACCAGCTGGTCTGAGTCGCTGGAGATAGTTCACACCTGGGGATGCCCATCAACACTTAAGGGGAGCATCGAGATATGGATTGTCACTTACCGTGTAGGGCAGAAAGGTGATGGTCATCATGCAGGCCTAGAAAGGAGGGAGAGGGAGGAGGAGGAGGAGATCACCCCAGGAAGACCCCCGTGAGTCCAGAAGGGGCAAGGCTGGCCCCTGCCTAAGACAGAGCCGTGGGCCGGCAAGTGTCTGAGTCCAGCGCCCAGCCACTGCAGGGAGAGATGGGTAAGGGGGGGCAGACCTTCTCAGTCCTTCACAATATAAGCGGGTGGCACAGCCCTGCCCCTACCACCCAACACCCCCGTCTGTCTGGGCTGAGATTTGGCTGGCCACACCACAGGGAGAGAGGTCATCTGAGGAGTGTCCAGGTGTTGACAGATTCCAGGCTCCACAGGGCCACAGAGGTAACAGAAGCAGCTAGCTGCTTCTCTCACTCTTCCCTGGAGGGCTGAATTACAAACTAAAATCATCCCCACCATCCCCGGAAATGACCAGAAAATACTCACCAGGTTGAGCAAGGCAAGTGTATCGTCTATTTTCCCAACAACTTGGAACAGTCTAAAGCATTTCAGAAAAACAGGAAAAGACAGGCCATCAATAAAATATGGTTCTAATAAAGCTAAATGCACACAAGCTTTCTCCAGTGTTTTCTGGTTAACACATCATTCAGAGATGCCATTTTAAACCAAATAAAAGATACTACCAAGTGCACAAAGTTCTGGAAAATATAAAGAAGGAAACGTACATTCCCTAGAAGGCCCTCTGTTCCTTCCCATGTATTCTTCCCATCACGATTTTCCTAATTTGAAGCCTGTTGCTGTAAATAGTCAGAACCAATGTGTAGGTACAATGTGTACTCTGGGCAACTTGGGGGACAGTCTTCTGGGAGCATTATTTGGGAGAAGCTCATTCACGCAGGCTGCTCCTGCCTCTTCAGCCATGTGTGGGCAGGGGCTGGATACCAGTGGCTCCCTTAGGACCCACCATGTGCCTGCTGTCAGGGGAGGACTCTGGGGCCTGGGGGTGGGTGTACCCTGGGGAGGCCAGGCACTCTGTCTGTTCAGAGGCCACAGAACCAGACCCATGCTGGCTGCCTACAGGAGGAAATGCCCCTCCCAGGAGGCAGAGCTCCATCTCGCAACGTATCTGCTCTTCAGGTCTCAGGTCCCAAATCATTGGAAAAGAAATCCTCTTTTCCATTGTTTTTTCAGGATTTCATACATTGTACCTGTCAACGGTGCCTACTCAACAGCATGGGTTTTATACCCAGTCAGCAAGACCTACACAGAAAGACAACCACTGAGTGTCCATCACCAGAAAAACCAGCACAGCCTATGGTGGTCCTGCTCTAGAAGCCCACCCTTAGCCTGGCCCTCCCCTGGGATTCCCCACCAGGGCTCTGCCTCTGGCTTTGGGGTATGGTACGAAGCACCTCAATGTCCTGTTCTGCTTTGAAGTTGAGGCCTTCTCCTGGACTGGACTTGGCTGAGACCCCAGGGGGTGGCCTCAGGGTACTGGGATGCAGCCCCCGTCCCCTACTTTGTGTGCAGGGGCTCACTCTGGGCTGCACATTTCAATAGAGAGTCAATAAGGAAGGAGCTATGTCCCACTGGAGACAGCAGCTCCATTGGCGATCCATGGAGCATCAAGATGCCTTGTGTGGTTGTGAGTATCCCCAGCCAGGATGCACAAAGTAGATATGTGAAGCCTCCTATGGGCCTCCCAAGCTCCTAGTCCCCACTGCTAAGTTCTTCACAGTGGGGTATGGCCACAGATATAGCCCTGTCCATGCTGTGGATGCAAAGTGGAGTCTGGCAGAGCCAGGAGCTCACCCAGCTCTCACCAGCTCATGGCCTCCTGGGCGCTCCATAAATAAGGAAAGCTGAAAAGAAAAGCCCCTTCCCCCCAAGTCTTGAAAGTAGAGGGCCATCCGTCACTATCAGAAACGAAGTCATTTTGCTGAAAACAAGTATATCATACACATTTTTAGTGCCAGTGTCAATGCTTAACTGGACCCATGGGGTGTTCAGCACTCCCATATCTCTTGGAGAGCTCTTCCTTCCCACAGGCCTGTGAACAAGGGTGTCAGCTGCCACACTCCAACTCTACCTCTGGGTGAACCCTGTCCCACCCTACCTGGGGCAGGTGGTTGGGGGGTGCCTCAGATCTTTTTTTTTTCTTTTTGAGTTGCAGTCTTATTCTGTCACCCAGGCTGGAGAGCAGTCACACTCACGGCCACCCCAGCTTCAACCTGGTGGGCTCTGGCGATCCTTCCACCTCAGCCTTCCAAGTGGCCAGAACTACAGCCACGCACTACTGCGTCCAGTTAATTTTTGATTTATTGTAGAGACAAGGTCTCGCCAAGTTGCCCAGGCTGGTCTTGAACCCACGGGCTCAGGCAATCCACTCGCCTCAGCCTCCCAAAGTGCTGGGATTACAGGCTGAGTCACCAAGCCCGGCATCCCCCTCAGACCTTAAAGAACCATTTCCTCCCAAGGACAAGGCTCAGTTCCCAGAGCAAGTCCTGCAGTCCAGCCTCCTTGCCAGGGAAATGAGAATGCAGTCTGCGAATCCCTGGGGGGAACAGAACGAAGAGGGGTCCTGCACACACCACACAGCCAAGTTCTAATGGAATGTGTTCATGTACTTCTCCTTGCCCAGGCCTGTCTTGCCGCGGCTGCAGAGGGCAAGGGCACAGCTGGCCCCTCTCCCAGCCAAGCACAGGGGGTGGGTGGCAGCTCCAAGACGGCCCTGACTTGGAGTGAGCACCTCCCCACCTCCACCATCCCCGGTGTATGGCCATGCTAAGTCTTATCATTCTTTCAAGGATGAGGAAACGAGACCCAGGTGAGGGTAGGAAGGGTGGCCAAGCACATGATGTGATAAGGGATTCGTGGACACCTGAGAACCACTGCTGCCCGTAACGCCTGCACCTGCCCAGGACCTGCACTGAGCAAGTCATAAAGACGGCGACCTCACCTTGGAAAAGTCCTGGCCCCCTACCTTGTGTGTGCTGCCCAGGCCACCGTCACGATTAGAAATGTCATCAGGTAGACAGCAATCCTGGTTGCTAGAAGTTTCTGTATACTTTTGTCAAACTGCTAAAATAAGAGTACTGATGTTAGAATGGTGGTCATCTCATAAGACAGCACCACGTGGGTAGCTGGCCTTGCCCCAGGGCAGGATGAGACCCCCCCCCCAGGAGGCCCTGGTCTCTCAAGCAGACCCTGGGTGCCCTTGTTCTGAGTTCAGTCTCCTTTTTGTGCTGGCCCATCTCCCCTGACTCCTGCAGGCCCTGCTCCTCTGGCCACCTACCCTTTCTCCAGGGAACAGATCAATGCCCATGTCCATATGGCAGGTGAACATGCTCTGGTCCATGTGGAGTCTTGTGACTGTTTCCCCGTGGAAATGTCAGCTTGTAAGGAGACCCTTCAGCCAGTTAGCAGGACAGGCAAAGGGGCTCAGCAGCAGAAGGTCTAGCATCTCACATGGGGAAGGGGCGGAGGCAAAAGCTGAGCTGGTTCCCTGAATCCTAAGGTCATTATCCCCATTCATGGCTTAATTACCTCCTGAAGGCCCCACTGCCTAATACCATCACCTTGGGGCTCAGACTCCAGTGTAGAACTCTGGAGACACACATTCCAGCCACAGCAGGCTTACGAATGGCACTGTCTGGGGAAGCTACTCCCAAGTAGCCCTGGGAAAGGCATCTCTGCAGAAGCTTGGGAGGGATCTTGAAGGCGGCACCGCCCTGAGGGCCACGGTTGGCATGGAGATATGGGGGGCTGAGTTGAACCAGAGCTCTTACCATTGAAGTCACAAGAAGGGGTTTTATGCCTTACCAACGAATATTCAAAACAGAAAACTGATAACTTCTTTGTTTTCCTTGATTCTTTATTTGCATGTAGGTCTCTGAGTTAGTAATGCAATATACTTCAGTTAAATTATTTATCAAGTACCATAGGTTTTTTTTTTTCTGGCACATGCTATCACACCCAGCTAATTTTTTGCTTGTTTTGTAGAGGTGAAGTCTCACTAAGTTGCCCAGGCTGGTCTTGAACTCCTGGGTTCAAGCAATCCTCCACTTTTTTCAAAGTGCTAAGATTACAGGCACAAGTCACCACACCTGGCCTCATCGTGTTTTTTGAATCATGACTTTTCAAAGTTTTGACTAGTCTTTAAAAAAAAACAAAACCAGAGTGAGAACAGCCCTATGAGTCCCCTTTGTGTCACAAGGAGGGCTGCACTGTTCTAGCATCTTCCTTAGGAAGCACACTGGGCGTGTCCTTCTTCCCACAAATGCATCTTCTCTGAACAAGCTCCAAGGATGTTCTGAGGCTCAGATCCTCTGTGACCCAGTCAGGACAACAGAGAAAAAAACATGGCACTACAAGTCTCCAGAAAGGTGACTCTGACTGCAGAGAAGTGTGAGCAGGTCTATTTTCACAGGTTTTTCTTTTTTTAATCACACATGAAGCCCTTCATTCTCACGTGACCCCATGGCCCGGGTGTCTCTCATTGATGTGGCCACACTCGACAGCCTTGTTTTGAAACTGGCAGCAGAGACAAGCACCTAACAGCCATGTTTGGCTGAGCCCACCCTGTGGGGCTTCCCAAAGATGCTCCAGAGCTGCAGGTCCCAGGGGGTCCCCTCAGGTGCTAAGCCCCATGGGGAGGGGGGGTACACCCTTCTGCCACGAGCCCCTCCACCTGAGCAGAATGCTGCCAATCCTGGGACTTTTCCAGAGCTTGGCTTGACTTGTGTTTCTGTTGAATTCTCGAGATTCTCTGAAAAGTAACACCATCACCTCTCACACCAGAAGAAGCCAGACTCTCGGCAGCTCCGGTGATTCCTAGATCATCCAGGCTCAGGTGGCAAGTCGGGGCGCAGCCTGGCCCTCAACCCTGTGTGGGTTTGAGTGGCTGGTCTTCACTCCTCTGTGCCTGTGAGGCTGCAGTGACAATGCCCTGTCACATGTGAGGACAACGGGAAGGGTACACACACGTGCCCCAAATGCTTTCCCAAGCCTCTAGGATGCCATCTGTCACTCTTTACCTCAGAGATATGCCAGTCAAGTTGGCCATGAACAGAAACTTCGCTTTTAAAACCTCTTCCCACTCACCTCTGGGATGAAGTTGCAAGGGACTAGTGTGGCTGTGTCTTTGGCGAAGCCTCTGTTTAGAGCACCTCCTGTGAGGGATACTCTGCCTGGAGCTTCCTCCCAGCAGAGGACTGCTATCCTCAGGATAGGCCTGAAACCTTCCTTCTCCAACCTGTCCTCCAGGCTCACCTCCAGGGTACAGCCTATGTCCTCTGAGCTTGGAAACAAAAAGTCCTGGGAGCCCCCTCCTGCATGGCACAGCATCGGATCTCTCAGCTGAGGTGGGCACAGGCTGACCTGCCCTTGCCAAGGCCCCCTTTTCCAACAAGGCCCCCCTCCTGCCCTCCGGGCCCTGGAAGCCACGAGTCGCATGAGGCTGGCTGCCTTGTGCCCAGGTGGGGTCTGTGGATCCCAGGCCTCCTCACGACCAACCACACAAAGCACAGCTCATTCCCATTACCTGCTCTGGGGAGATCTTCGTGTGGGTCACAGGCAGGATCTAAAGAACAAAGAGACGAGAGGAACAGAGACCTTCTTGGGCTGGGCACGGGCCGCTCCTTGGATACAGTGGGATTGGGGACTCAGAGCCTGAGTTGGACACCCCCAAGCTGCCTGAAGACCTGAGGATGATGCCAAGCCCTGGGTGAAGTCTGAGGTGGGTTGGGCAGTGACTGGAAGGACAGGTGGGTAGGTTCTAAGTGAGGGCCCAGTACACACCATGACGGTGGCGATGATGGACAGCAGGGCATCGCTGAAGCTGAGCATGCGGTGGGAGCACTGGATCCCCTCCCCGACGTCCTCATCTGTCTTGCACGGGGGATAGTCTCTGGAGTTATCGAGCACCTGCTCTGGCGTCTGAGGCCGGGACATGGTGGGGCACTGCCCGGTGGTCACATGAGCCTGGGAGGAAGTGCAGCTCTGAGCAGGCCAGTGGGATGGCCCCAGCGGCTGCAGCCTTGATGCAGGGCCAGAGGCCAGGCACAGGAGGGGCCTGGCTGCAGTCAAGGGCAGGAAAGGCCCATGCTGCTCCATCCTCTCCTGGGTGCCCCTTGAATTCCTAGCCTCCAGGCTAAGAGTCCAGTGTCAGACTCCAACCCAGCCCTGTCCCCACTGAACACTGTGATATGGGTAAACTGGGCCTCAGTTTGTCCTCAAGACCTGGGAGAGAACCCTGACCCCACAACAGACATAAACATAGAAGAGGAGCATGGTGCCAGGGGCCGCCTGGTTCCCTCAGGGTCTGCACCGTCTCCATAACCACCGGGGATATCCAGGCCTCATATAGCCAGCCAGCACCGGGAGAGGGCATTTTCATCCCCCACTGTGAGCCCACCTGCAGAAGCCTGGGTTGTGCACACCCAGGACACACGAGCATCATGGCTGTGGCTCCCTTAGCACAGAACTCTTAGATATTTGCAATATCAGAGATGACCTGAGAAGACAAGTGAGGTGCCAGGGCAAGATGCCTCCCGAGAACAGAGCTGAGCTGTAGCTGGAGGCAGCCTGGGGAACATACTGCCCTGTTGAGCAGCCCTAGGCCGACCCAAAAGGCACTGCAGATTACACAGATCGGCATGGAGGATGAGCACTGAAGAAACATTCTGCAGATACATGCAGAGTGGGAGAAGTACATGGTGGTGGAGTCCCCCCAGCACTGGACATTGCTGGGACACAAGGGAGGGTAAAGGGGTCTGCTGTGATGACAAAGGGGAGATGAAGGGAGCATGACACCACCAGGAACAGGGTGGGTGAGCAAAAGTAGCTCCTGAGAGGTTGGGTGAGGGGGAGAGGCGAAGGTGGAGGGTGACAGATAAGGGTGAGCCACCCAGGCACTGGTGCACTCCAGATGAGGAAGGTGGGACAGGGCTCATTTCAGAAGAAGGATGATGTGCTTGTTGTGAATGCTTCCTAGGACACATGGACCAGGACAGGAGAGACCTCTGAGGACTGTGTGAGTGTGAGTGAGCTGTGGGGACAGACACAGGGACCAGGCCGAGAGAGACTGCTGGAAACTGCATGAGTGTAGGTGAGCAGTGGGGACAGACACAGCAAAGAGTTCTGGCTGGAGATGTAGACTCTAGAGTCCCCAGTGAACGCTGTTTGGGATAAGGGCATTTCAGATGGGGTACTGTCAGTAGCAGAAGGCAGGCCTGTGCTGCTAGAACATCTAGGGTTATCAGAGGGTTGGTCACCTGGGAAGGAGCGGGAGGAACATCCAAGGGGCAGGACAAGCAGGGCTCTCTACCATTCCAGAGCGTATTAAGGAAGGGGCCACAGTGGAGAGCCTTGAGAGGTAAAGGACAATACCTCTCGGGTTTTACTGCGGCTGTTGGCATGAAGGACTGAGATGTGGGTCCACTAAGGGTTAGGGGAAGGAAGGAGACACAACCTGCTGCTCACACCAAGAAGCCAGACACCTGTTTCACCAAGACAAGACACACAAAGCAACCCCATCCCAAGATATGCACAAAGGAGGCTACTGGCAATTTCTGGATAGGAAACATATATATATGATATTCCACTCCACCAGCAATTAGAAAAATGTGAATGAAAATGACAAGAGGGTGGCCGCAGTGTGGCTCAAGTCTGTAATTCCAGCACTTTGGGAAGCTGAGTAGAGAGGATTGCCTGAGTCCAGGGATCCGAGATCAGCCTGGGCAACTTAGTAAGACCTTGTCTCTACAATAAATACAAAAATTAGGCCAGGCGTGGTGGCTCACACCTATAATCCCAGCACTTTTGGAGGCCGAGGTGAGAGGATTGCCTGAGTCCACGGGTTTGAGACCAGGCCGGGCAACATGGTGAGACCTCATCTCTACAATAAAAAAAAAAAATCAGTCGGGTGTGGTGGCATATGCCTGTAGTTCCAGTTACTTGGAAGGCTGAGGCAGAAGGATCGCCTGAGCCCAGCAAGTCGAGGCTGCGGTGGCCATGAGTGTGCCACTGCACTTCAGCAGAGTGAGACTCCGACCAAAAAAAAAAAAAGAAAGAAAATGACAAGGAATTAGAATGGCAGAAAGTCATTAAGAAGGGATGACAAAGATGTGGGGAAAACAGGAACTGAGGCAGGCAAGAACATAAATGAATGCCACATTTGTTTTGAAGACAATTTGGCAATGTTGACACAGTTGTGGTGCACACTCTATAAGGCTTCACTTCTAGCACGTCTCAGTCTCAGGTGTGTGCATGGAGACCATCAAAGGTCTACACCATGGCAAGGTGTGTGTGTCTTTTAACAATAAATTCAAAAGCATTCTAATGACTGTCAGGAAGTTAAACTAGAACTACAAGTAGAGTATGAAACTAAAAAACAGGTTGAGAGGGAAAAAAAATCAAGCAGCAAAAGTGTAGAGAGTATCATAGCATTTATGTAATGATAAAAGCACACAAAAGGTATCTTCTTCATAGTTATATAAACATATATGGTGAAGATACAAAAACATAGGTAAGAACAACATTCACCAACTTCAGGACAGGATAGCACTGCAGTGACCTAGGCAGGGGCGTGGGGAATCAGGTGGGAAAGGGTTTTAGCTATTTCTCTAGTTTATTTCCCACTTAATATTCACTTTTTAAAGTTTACATACAGTAAAAACCACTCCTTCTGGTGCACAGTTCTGTTTTGCACAAATGCACATAGGCATGTGCCCATAGCCACACTCCAGACACAAACCATTCTATCCCCAAGCAGCCCCACTGTGTTCAAGCTGCCCCCACCCCAAACTCTGGCAACCACTGATCTGCTTTCTGTTACTGCAATTTTGCCTTTTCTAGAATGTCATGTAAATGGAATCATCCCACGGAGTCTTTTGAGTCTAAGCTTCTTTCACGATTCAGTCATACTGCTGCGAATATCTGTGACAGGTTTCTTTTAACTGCTGTGTAGTACTTCCACTGTATGGACACAACCCAGTCTGTGTACCCATTTACCAGCTGAAAGACACTTGTGTTGTTTCCCATTTTGGGTGATTATTAATAAAGTCACCATTTGTGTACAAGTATTTCTTTTTTTTTTCAAGTATTTCTATAAACATGTTTTTATTATTCTTGGGTAAACACCTGGGAGTGAGTCTGCTGGGTCATATGACAAGTACATGTTTAACTCGGTAAGAAACAAACCATTTCCCAAAGTAGCCATAGCACTCTACATTCCCTCTAGCAATGTATGAATGATGCATGTGCTCATCATCTGCTCTGATACTTGGTTTGGCATGGTTTTATTTATTTATTTATTTTTTGAATTGGAATCTCACTCTGTCGCCCAGACTGGAGTGCAGTGGCACGCTCCCGGCCACCGCAGCCTTGACCTGCTGGGCTCCGGCGATCCTTCTGCCTCAGTAGCATGACTTTAAAAAACAACTAATTAATTTTTAATTTACTGGTATACAGTGGTATCTCATTGTGTTTTTAATTGCTATTTCCCTATTAACTAATTAAGCATCTTTCATATGCTTGCTTTTCATCTGTATATCATTCATGGTGAAGTGTCCATTAGAATCCTGTGTTAACTTTTTATCAGGTTGTTTGTATTGTTATTGAGTTTTAAGAGTTTTTGTTGTTGTTGTTGAGTTGGAGTCTTACTCTGTTGTCCAGGCTGGAGTGCTCATGGCCACTACAGCCTCGACCTGCTAGGCTCAGGCAATCCTTCTGCCTCAGCCTATCCTTCTGCCTCAGTCTTTCAAGTAGCTGGAACTAGAGGCACACAACACTATGCCTGGCTAATTTGTTGATTTATCGTAGAAATGAGGTCTCACCAAGTTGCCCAAGCTGGTCTCTAACCCCTGGGCTCAGGCAATCTTCTCGCTGCCACCTCCCAAAGTGCTAGGATTAAAAGGCGTGCACCACTGCACCTGGTAAGAGAGTTCTTTATATTCTAGCTAAAAACACTGTTAGGTATGTGATTTGGAAATATTGTCTTGCAGTATGTGGCTTATCTTTTTATTCTCTTAACAGTCTTTCATCACTTCTCTTCTGTGGGTATTTAGTGTCACATTAAAAATTCTTTGCTTAACCCAAGATTACAAAGATTTTCTATTTTCTTCTAGAAGTTTTAAGGTTTTAGGTCCTTCTTTAGTGCAGTCTCAGGTGTGGTTAATTTTTATATAATGTGCAAGGTATCGCTGAATGGGCAATTGTTCCCATACTATTTATGGAAATGACCATCCTTTCTCCAGTGAATTACCACTATACTTTGTCAAAAATTGGCAGACCCTATTTGTGTGGATCTCTTTTGGAAATATCTATCCTGTTCTAATGATGATGTGTCAATCCTTTTACCAATACTACCATCTTTTTTTTTTTTTTTGAGTTGGAGTCTCACTCTGTCACCCAGACTGGAGTGCAGTGATCGCTCCTGGCCACTGCAGCCTTGACCTGCTGGGCTCTGGCGATCCTTCTGCTTCAGCCTTCCAAGTAGCTAGAACTACAGGCGCATGCTACCATGCCCGGCTAATTTTTTATTTATTGTAGAGATGAGGTCTCACCAAGTTGCCCAGGCAGGTCTCGAACCCGCGGGCTCAGGCAGTCCACTTATCTCAGCCACCCAAAGCGCTGGGATTACAGGCTGAGCCACCAAGCCCGGCTAATACTACCATCTTGATTACAGCTTCACAATCAGTCTGAATATCTGGTAGAGTGAGTCCTGTGAGTCAGTCTTGTTTTTCAACATTATTTTGATTCTTCTAGCTCCTCTGTCTTTCCCTCACATGCTTCTGCTTGAAGAGTTCCATTTTCACAATTCCCCTGGGCAGAAAGATGAGGGTTTCCTCACAGAGTTTTTGCTGTGTGTGTAACAACCCCCAGAGCATAGCCCTGCAACCGAAAGCTAGGCTAGGATCACAGCCATGAGAAAAAAGAAGTTTGAGAAGTAAGAAACTCACAACTGTGTGCTTCACTTCAAATATGATTCCTCTTTCCAACCAACTCACTGGCTTTTGCATAATTTTTCTTTTAGTATTTTGTCCAGGGTTTGTACTTCCAATTAGTAGGAAAAATAGACTGTAAGGGTGTTACTCCAACAAAAATAAGATGTAAAGTAACATCTGTTTCTTTAAGTATTGACGAGTTATGGGAACTGACATTTGTTATATTGTTTTCTAGAATTTACTCCATGTTTATATCTTTTCAATTAGAATTTATTTATTTATTTATTTTTTTGAGTTGGCATCTCACTCAGTCGCCCAGACTGGAGTGCAGTGGCCACTCCCGGCCACCGCAGCCTCGACCTGCTGAGCTCCGGCGATCCTTCCGCCTCAGCCTTCCAAGTAGCTGGAATTACAGGCATGTGCTACCACGCCCGGCTGATTTTTTGATTAATTGTAGAGATGAGGTCTCACTGCCCAGGCGGGTCTCGAACCTGCGGGCTCAGGCAATCCACTCACCTCAGCTTCCC